CGCGGACGCACCCCCATGCCCGCTCACGGCCGCCCGCCGGTAGCGGCTGACGCCTGCGGAGCAGCGACGCGCGGGGCCCGGGGAGGCGATGGCTGCGGATCTGGTGGTGCTGCTCTGCCTGGCCGCCGCCGCGGCCGCCGTGGAAGGTGAGGCGGGACCGGAACGGGGGAGGACGGTGGGATGCTGAGCCGCGCGGTCCCTGCGCCCACCGCGGCACGCGTGGGCTGGGAGCGCCACCCGCGGCGTCTGCAACCGGGGCCGGGCCGGGCAACCGGCTCCCCCGCCGCGCAGCGTACCGGGGGCTGCAAACCGGCACGGGGCTGGCTCCCGGCACGGCGCCCGTCCGCTTCGCGGGGCGCGGAGCTCCCCACGTTGCCGGCCGGTTGTGCCAGCCATCCTCCCGCAGCCCGCGGGAACCGGCCCGCAGGCGGTGCTCGCAGCCCCGGGCTCGCCCACGGGCCGTGGGTGGCCTCGGGAAGAGGCAGGCGGGGGTTCCAGCTCTCGGGAAACCCGTCCGGATCTGCGTGGGACGGGCGGCTCCTCTGGATCCCCTCCCCGGCAGAGCCCTGCCCGGGGTCGCGGTGGGGGGACACCCCCAGGGGCCGTGGCTGTGCGGAGGACCGCCTCTGTCCATCTTTCTCCTCCCGTACCTCCCAACGACCGTGGGAGCTCAGGAGAGCTTTGTGGAAGAGGAGGATGGATGCACCAGGAGGTGCGGGCAGGGGGTTTCCTTCCCTTGGGTCAGACTGGGCCAGGGGACGCTTGGCTTGTCGGTGGAGCCACAGGGCAGATGCGTGCCTGTCCTTTCAGCAAGGTGGTGCGTGGCTGTCCTTTCAGCAAGGTGCATGCCGTCGGGCTGAAGTCTTTTCTCCGTCACCCGCGTGGTTGTGGGACTCGCTGGGCACCGGGACGGTGCCCGCAGCCGAGAGCCAGTCTCTGGGCGGTGGGCCTGGCAGGACCGGCAGGTCACCCCAGGCTTGTGTTGGTGGTGCATCACTACTCTGTGGCCAGCATGGCTTTCGGAAGTATTGCTTATATATATATATTTTTTTCTTTTATTTTGCCACTGCCTCCTTTTTTCCCGGTACAACATGGGTGAAGGGGCTTGTGGCAGGGGTTGCCCAGTGCTCGAGCGGTGGCTGCGAGCAGGGGACGTGGTGTGGCCCCTCTCTTGTTAGCAGCAAGAAATGTGTGGTTGTGGAGAGATGATGCACGGGGTCTTGTGGGCAGACTGAGCTGTCGGCTGGTGTGAGGCTTGTCCCCTCCTTGAGGGGATTTAGCTGATGTGAGCACAGTTGCTGCTGAACTGGAAGCTGCCGGAGCTGACTGGAGACCGGCGGCTCAGCTCCGGGCAGCACAGAGCCGGTTCAGGAGCCGAAACGCTGCTGTGTTGGTCTCCGATGGGGTGGGAGCAGTGTCGGCCACAGTCGCCCTCCGCTCACAAGTGTGCCTGCTCTGGATCATGGTGGGCAGGCCCACTAGCTGCAGCGTCTGCTTTCCAATGGCTTTTGGCTGTCCCAGGCGTTTGCTTTTCTTATTTCTTGGGCTTCCTCCCTCATTGCATCTCTGTAGAAATAACTTGAGGTGGAAATGCTGATGCCTTTCCTAAGCATGATGCAAACAGGCATGTATTTGCTCAGTCGTGAAGCTGCACATGAAAATGCAAGACCTGTTAGCGGCAGTTTGCTAGCCGGTGTTTGCAGCGTCAGCTGCTTGAGGCACTGCTGAAATCGCGGCTGGCTGGGAGACCTCAGCTCAGTCCCTGTCTGAGAGCACTCCTGGGTGTCGTGTCTGTGTGTCACACAGGGTCTTCCCCAGCTTGCCCCGAGCCACCCCTGGGAGCACGTGCTTGGCTGGCAGAGCCAGCATCCCTGCTCGGGACTGCACCTGTTGAAGAATGATGTTATTTCTACTCTGCTGAGGAAATTACTTGGATAGTAAAGTAGTATCCTGGGAGAGATCTCAGATTTAAGGGAAAATTTTGGACAGGGAATTTCTGAGGCAGAGCAATTGAATCTGATTTGGAGTTAAGGCGACAGTGTCCTGGCATGGTCATATAAAGAAAACACCTTTTTGTGGACCTTATTTAAATCTTATGGATCCTCCTGGTGCAGAGGTTGAATTTGCTAGATTGAAATGTGGGTTTCTCTAGCCAAGCTGAAGCATCTCCTAGAGCCTGATTTACCCTGGGGTCTGGCTTTCCCTCTTGAGCAGCTGCGAGACCAGTTTTGCCAGCAGCTCTCTCCGGCAGCAAGGCAAAACCACTGCTGGAGCCCAGCTCTGCCACGGGCTGCAGAAGCAGCAGAGAGAGGGATGGCTCCTTGCATCCCAAATCAGCCGTCAAGACAAAAAGTCTTTTTTCCAGGATGGCAGGGGGAGACATTTGGAGGTCTGGACCGGGTTGGAGGGGAGGAGGATGCAGCCAGGGTCAGGGCTGGGGCTGCCTGCAAACATCTCTCTTTATCCTCCATAAAACCTTGCTAACTCATTGCCTGCGGCACACAAACCTGGAGATAGTAAAGTCGCTTATCTGAGTTTTCTTATGGTTACTTGGTTTTTACTACGTCCTGTGGCTTAGCTGACCATTTTCTGCTGGACACCTGGATGTTTATAGTAATTTTTTTTTTGTGGCTTGTGAAGAGGAAGAGGGATGTGAGAGGATGACAGGAACAAATACTCCGTCTCTCCCACACCCTGCAATCACTCAGGAGCTGCTCGCGTGCTCTCTCTCGTGTTAGCTGAACCAAATATAATCACATTTAGCATATAGAGAGGGTGGTAATGGGCCGGCATTATACGTTTTAACTCAGGAGTTGTCGGAGTTGGAGGTGTTGGTAGGTCAGATGGGGCTGATGTCCATTTTGGTGCAGCTCTCCCACATACACTGTTTCATCTGCTTACCTATCCATCATCTCCCTGCCTTGCGCCTGCCCTTTTAAAAACCCGATTTTTCTCTCTGTATCCTGTATAGCTGCTTGCAGCATTATGATAAGCAAAGCACGGGGAGGGAGGTGGAAAGCCCTGCTCGGGGCTGATGGATCTGGCTTAGTTTTGCTTCCCGTGCTTATCCACTCGCTTGCCTGCCTGGCCTTTGGAACCGCAGCCCAGAAGAGGACCAGGGATGGGGGTTTGCTTCAAGAGCGATGTCCCTGGCTGCTACTCCTTGCGTGCTGCCTGCCCTGGGTGCAGTCTCTCCTCCTGTTTTGGCTCGGGATGCACACATCTGTTGCAGGCATCCTTTGGGCTTCCTCCGCTTCCGCCAGGCGCCAGAGCAGTGCCTGCACTGAGCAGGCTGAGAGCTGGCGGCTGCAGCGCCGCTCTTCCCATCACCACCACCATCACCACGTAGGCTTCCACCTTTGGCCCAGCTGCTTCGCCTGGAACAGAGCAGTTCTCAAGGAGAAGCTAGAAATAAGTCTTTCAAGAGAGAATTTGCAAGTGCTAGTATCCAGCCATCCCTTTACTTTTACTTTTTTTGCACAAACTATCTGGGAAGAAAAAAACCCCTAAGGGGAAAAACCTTATTCCTGGCATGATGAGTGAGCTCAGATCTTGTCAGCCTGAAGGGAAAGCATTTTGTCAAGTCATGGAAAAGGGGCCTGAGACTGCAGATGCCTGTGTTGCTTTTTTTTTTTACTAATTGCTGGTATCACTGACTCATGCCTTGCCTCAGTCTTCCTCCTCCTTTCTCGTTTCCCTCGTGCTTTGGGCTTGGAGATGGAGGTGAAGGAAAGGCAACGTCCCAGTGTCTCCGAAAGTCCGGCTGGCCCAAAGCTGCAGGTGACCTCGGTGGCTCATGCCACACAGTGTGACAAAGTGCTGGAAAACCTGAAAAGGGGGTTTTGTCCCTGGGATGCGTATATGCGGCTCAACTTATGGCAGAGATGCAGTGGTACAGCTGTCCCTGAATCGGCAGCAGCCCTGCTTGAACCCATCTTGTGGGCGACTTCACCTGCATCTCAATTTCATGTGGGTCTCCTTCCTTAAGGTGAAGGTCTTGATTTATTTTTCACTTTAATTAAAGCTTTGAATTTCACTTTCCCTGAATGTAGTGCAGCCGAAAGTTGAATAACTTACAGTGCTCTGGCGGCTTGGCTCAGGAAGCCTATTAGAGATGAAAATGAGCATTGGCGATGATGGAGAGATCTGAAAAGCAGCGCTGAAAATGGAAAGCCTGCCTGTTGGGCTGTCATTATTAGTATTTATTTGACGCTGAAGATGGTCTTGGAGCAGTTAATGCAAATAAGGGCCCTGAAGGAGCTCTGTGAAAGGCAGGCGTGGCGAAGGTGAGGTCTGGGATAAATACATTTATTTTTCTGCTCTTTCTGCTCACCATCTCTGTGTGGAAATCGGGCTGCTGCTCTGTGCTTCCATGTGTTTAGTGACACCCTGTGCTGTGGCATGAGCTGCCAGGGGGGTTTGCAAAGTGGCCTCTTGCCCATCCCGGGTGCAGTTCCTGACACAACAGGACAGAGCAAAAACCTTCCACTGGCCTTAAAAATCAGAAGAAAATACTGTTTTTTTTGATGAAGTAGCCCGATGTGTTCGTCTGGCTCTGGATCCAGGCCACGGTGCTGAATAATAGATGTGTCTAGCACAGATGGGTTCTGCAAGCTAAAGAAATACTCAGATTTGGTGAAAAGGGAAAAATAGTACCTTGGGTAACAGGTAACTCAATGCTAATCAGGTCAGCAAAGTCTTGGAGGCGCTGGTCCCTGGTGCAGCAGGCGTGCCGTGGGATAAGGCTGATGGAAGAGATGCTCGGAGCAAGGCTGAGGCTCGCTGAGTGCTGCTCTTATAACGCCTGTGGTGTGTGCTGCACCACTCTGTCTGAGATCCAGCCAGCTTGAGGATGATTTTTTTCACCTCTTTCAGCCGTGGGTACGAGCTCATCATGCCCTGGCATGGAAATGGCTTCATGCAGGAGCCTCAAACTTGTATGCTGTTGCCCAAAGGGTGCTGCAGCTCTCTGTTCCCTCTGAACAGACACAGTCGATATAAGCAGTCGTTTAACAGCACAGTGAGGCTGAGTAAATAGTTGGGGTTGAGGGAGGGAATGTTTTCCCCAAATATTCATTAGAATTTGAAAGCGCATTTCAATTTGACCTTGTTCTCTTTCTGCAAACATTCGAGCTATCAAGCATAG